TTTGTTTCTAATGGAGAAAACCAGAAACAATTGAGAGAAGACAGTAAGACACCAGAAGGTGCCATCGCTGTGATAAATGCATCACCATGTGCAATAGCATATATGGTGCTTGTAAGGGGCAAGTCATGACTTCAATGGTCCATTAGTTCCTGCGGCAGAGGAAGACAATTTCCTTGGATCAAGGGATTAAGAACAGACAAAACACTGGTAGTTACATCTACTCTCTAGTTTTACTTCCTAAAAAAACAAGGGTAAACCACCCAGACTCCAAGGAAGTTAAGAAACCAACCATGAGAATGGACATCTAAGACATACGCTGTTAAAGGCACCGAACTCTCCATCTTGCATCATGACCCAAAAGGTCTGTCCCTCCTGGTGGACTAAACATTTCTGGAGGGTAGGTACCATGACTCACATATCTGAGCACCACCTGCGTCTCTCAGTTCGACGCCTGACACAAAGCAGGCATTTAATAAATACCTGTTGAGAGGAAATGAATCACTCCCTTTAATTGAAAAACAGCCTTAGTCATGGTTACTACTTAGAAATAAACTTAGCTAATTCAGACATTAGTACAAAGCCAGTTTGTCAAAACTGTTGAAGCATGGTTACCCACTCTATTTATCTTCCAGGTGGAAGACTTGTTATCCCACATGGCAGAATATGAAACCTATACATATATACATTTCATTTGAGACATGATGAATCCCTAGAATATGATGAATCCTTACAGGACTCTGACTAAAGGGATTAAATTATTTTCAGGCTGGCAGCTCATTGTGCTAATATTCTACCTCTATGCCTGGCCGGCTTCACTCTGGATAGTATATTTATCGACATTTCTTCTCCCTGCTGAACCTGACTGAAAAATCAAACTAGAGGGTCAATGTTCATCCAAATAAATGAACATATGAAAATTCCCTATGGGAAGCTACATTTTAGTCTCAAAAGTTTTCCAGGGCTTCAGAAATATAACATTTAAAGAGCAGGAAGCTATATAACCTATGTCAATTGCTTAAAGTGAAAAATTTAAATATAATGCTTCTTTATATCAGAATATTAGAAAAATCATCTCTTTATGAAATATATGTGTATGTATGTGAACACATGGATACAGAAGATAGATCAATAAATATGTAATTAGGTATTATATTTAATTATTACATTTCGGAAAATGTTAATCACTCAAAAGTAAATTGCTTTTGACACAACTCACATTGCTCATTTCTTTACTGTCATTCACCTTTCCTATGTGGTATCTGAAGGACTCCTTTTAAATTCTATGTAATTCATATCCACTTAGTCATCAACAGGAGAGAATTACAGCTCAAAGAAATGGCATTGTCTACTGTTGTTACAATGCATTTCATTGCAAATAATTCTTTATTTCTGAAGCTATAGTTACTCTGTTTTAAATTTCCTAATCTCAGGATAATGCATTTATCCTAATTCCATTAAGGACTGTCATATTTCATAGCACAATCTTCTTATCTTATAATACTACTTCTGAGGTATTTAATCATATATAATGTAATTATGTTTCTGCTGCATTTAATCAATCAAATAATGTAATGCATTTTCTTACAGAAAGTATGTGTTCACATATTCCATCAAGCAATAAACACACTTTATTCTGAAACACAGCTACTTACAAAAATGATCTTAAAAAGGTATGACCTAGGTGCCTGAGAATCACACTTGGGAAGATCACAATGTTATTTGCAAAGAAAATGGAATAAAATACTATGCTATTCCTTTAGGCTTAAGAACAGTAAGTATGGGAAAATGTACATGGAATTTAAAATAATTCATGCACTTATTTACTAAATTTCTCTATGATTCAAAATAGATGTCATTTTTATTCTAAATGGAATTTTTAAACATCTGTAAAGTTTTTAAAACATCTTCAATAACTATCAACACGTACAAGCCTTTCTAACAGCGGTCAAAAGTGGTAGCTTTAGAAGTATAGCAAGGGTGCTGTGGGTTTCCATCCTAATTTTTTATGAAAATTCATCCTTATTGATCACCTGGTTCTTTTCAGGTTCTGGCCCTACAGGCCATGCTTTGTATGGACTTATTATCAATGACGATTATTAATAATCTGTTCCTCTTGGACACCCTGTCCAATGTTAACTCTTAACACATCTATTTTATACTTGGTACACCACTGACCTATCTTCTTTGCGAGCTCTGGAACTAATAAAGCAAGAAAATTTTTACTTTTAATCTTTTAACAACTCCTCTAAGTTTGTGAAATATTGCCTTTGAGCTTTACGTACCTTGTTATTCGTCCCCTTAAATATCACAGATGATTAAAACCTGAGCATAATATTCTAAAAGAACTTGAATTTCATGTTTGGCAATATTCATAATCCAACTTAATATAACATATTCTAAATATTTTATATTCAGAAGGAACTGATTTTTATTTGAACTGTAGAATTCAAATTTATGGGGATCAAGATATAATTTTACCATCCTATTAACTTTAAAATACTTTTATAATTTTTATTGTTAATTCACTTGATATTCTTATTTTAAGCCATTTTTCCCTTTTTCTACTTGAGAAGACAAAAAAAAATCTATCATTTAGAAATATCACAAAACTGTTATTTCTTCACTTCCATAAACACTACATAAAATAGCCGTTTAGAAGAGAAATATGTCATTGTTTTCTTACCTACGACCACGTTTAGAAGATGTTCTCAAACAGAATATTTAAAATTAGATATTTTAAGTAATTCAATGGAAAAAAAAAACCACACACTTTTGATGAATTCCATGATATCAACCTTTGGTAATACAGTGCTCTAACAAGCAAGAAATTATTTCATATGCACGCCCGTATACAAGTTTTAATATTCCTTTCACTAAACAAAGAGCAGGAAGCCAGAATACAGCTTTTTACCTTTGACGTATAAATGAGGAGCTAAAAGCATATAACAAACAAAAGCCAAAGTCATTCTCCCAAGTATGTTTAGAAAGCTATCTGCAAAGCAAAGCATACCAGTTATGTTAATGGGAACCACATCAGCCTGGACTGTTTGGGCTTGCTGTCGCATCTTCTCTTCTGGTGTTGGCAAGGGAAGTGACTTGGTCCAATTTGTTTGAGTATTAAGGTCAGAGAAGTCACTTGACGTTGGCGTTTTAGGTCTCCTGGTAGAAATAAATCTTTCTTCTTCTGATGAAGAAATAGAACACTGCAGGAAAAAAAAGGAGGAAGATGTAAACAGCTGGGAGAAACATTTAAAAATACACTTCTTACTTAAAAAAAATTTTAAACTGATTTAAAGCAAGCAAACAAAAAAAGGTAACATTTAAGAAAGAAGCAATGGTTTGCAAGGAAACTCATCTTGAGCATGACCGGTTATATATATGATTCACACAGTGGCCTTAGTCTCTAAACCACGAGGACTGCAAAAGGTTTTGCTGACCCACAGTATCTTTTCAGTTCTTCCTGCTTTTCCTCTATTTATTGTGGTCAGAAAGCTTATGGATTTAGTTTACCACGAGAAGCCTAGAGAAACATCACGGCTGTGGCTGGTTTCCATTTTTATTAAAATTTTATTTGCTCACAGTAATTTCTAGCCTCAATCTTATTTCTCTTAGGCACTGACCTCAAGGAACACTTCTGAAATGATGAAGCTATTGTTGCTCAACTATGTGTGCTCTTCTGAAACCATTTATATGAAAAAAATCAGTGTGAAATTGTTAAATTCTAAGAAGCTGACTGAAGCTCTCTGCTCTGAGCCTTATCAGAATTCCATGAAAACATTTCTGGCAGGGTCTGTTTTGATACAGATTAACATCCTAACTGGGGAGCCCTTCTTCAGGATCTTTCTTCCCACACCATCTTAAAAAGCACAAGCAAGAAAGTTGTTCTGGCAAGCACTTTCCGATGGACTTCGCTGTGGCTGCTGGGCAGCTGGTTCTTGGCAAAGCAGCTCCAAGAACGCAAAAGAAATGCAATGTGCTCGCAAACAACAATGATGACCAAATAAGGGTAAGTGGCTTTTGTTGGGAAATGGCAGTTTACAACATACAACAAATGTCTAAGCACGGCTCTTCGAGTTGAAAGCATTTTGACTAACTTTCCACCTATGGAAGTAAGGCATTTAAAAGAAGTTTACTTAAGAATAAACAGTCAATGAACCTTTCCAAGGGAGTACCGTAGCACCAGCACCCAAGTCAGTTCAACACTCCCCCTTCCAAACCACACAGGTAACTACCCTCCTGACTTCTAAAACCACAGCTTTGTTTGCCTGTATCTGACCAATGGGAATCATGGTGTACATTCTCTTCGGTAACTTACTTCTTTCATTCAACGTTATGTTTGTGAGGATTCATCTGTCTTTAAAAAGCAGGCATTGTTACCTTTCTGGATTTAATGCAAGTTTCTAAGAGGACACTGGTAAGAAACTTACAGAAATGCACCAGTTAGAAATTTCAATCACTTAGAAGAACACTGTCATCACTGTTTATTACTCTTGGATTCATCTTACTGCAAAATATCTACTTTTATTCTACAACTACCAGCCCTCCACAAATTTAAAAAAGACTAAAGAAGAACCACCAAAAATGGTTTGGTGTTGGGGACAGGGTCTAGACTAAGAATCCAAAGACTGGAGTCTATTCACTTTATACCTGCAAGTCAAGTGACCTCCAGGCTGCTCCTGAACCCTAAAGTTTCCTTTGCTGTAAAATGGGATTGTCCGTTTACCTCCTGAACCTCCCAAAGAGCTACTCTTAAGACCTCTGAGATGATACCGATGAAAATGTCTATGACAAATCTTATGGAAATGAAGGTAATGGTAATAAAATGTGACTTTAGGAAAGCAAAATCATGAATTGACAGGTACCCAGTTTTTTCTTTTATTGCAAAAACACTATCAATAATAAAGGTGTTGTGGAAATAAAGGATATAAAATAAACCATAATTAAACATTTCTATTTTTTACTTTATATTCTTTTTTTTTTTTAATTTCATAAAATGCCAAGTCGGTAACCCAAGTGTGAGGCACACGGGCAGCCCACATGCTGCTGGCTTTCCCGGGAGCACGCGCTAGCCCTCTCTTGTGCCTTGCTGCATATGGTCGGAGGGGAATGAGAGAAAAGCATACTCACGCCCTCCGTCCTGTAGCGACAGGCAGCTCTCCACGTTGCCCCCACCATCTGCACTGTTCCCGGCACCTGGCTCCTCCTGAGAGGGGGCTGGTGCTGCATCGGGCTGCACCATGGGGACATTGGCTTTCACTCTACCCGGGGATGCAGATCCTGCGGCTCCTCCCTCAAGAACTGAGCTGCCAGAGCCCGTCTCCTCAGCACCAGCCCCGGCTCTACAACTCTCTGTTGCCTCTCCCCTCGTGGGGCTAGGTGATGCTCCGCTCACGTTCTCCGTTGTGAAGTCTCTCTGTGGAGGTGGCACCACGAGGAACAGTCTGGGCTTCTTGGAAATGGGGGGTGGCTTCCTGCTGGGTGAAGGGCCGGGGGGCTCCTGGCGCGGGGCGGCCCTGGGGCCGGGCCCAGTCTCTGCCTCCCCGGCGCTGCCCAGGCTGCGGCTCGGGAGGCCGCGCTCGGCTGCACCGTCCTGGTGACCCTGACTCGAGCTCTTGGCAGGAGTCGGCGGCGAGCTTGTCACAGAGGCAGGCTGGCTTTCACTCTCCATTTCATTTATGCTATTTCGGGATTTCAAGAAAGCAGATGGCTTTAAATGATACTGGGGAACAACCGGAGTTAGTTTTTCCTGAGATACTTGTTCATGTAACAGTGCTTGCTCGGTTCCTGAGTTCTTTTTCACGGGCCTCAACTGTACCATCTGCAATGCTTCTGTGGTTATCAGGGGCATGGGGGGTCTGCTGCCCTCCTCCTTGCTAGAAGGCTGCCGAAAGCCCTCCCAGGAGCAATCTGGCTGGCCAGATATTTTAAAAGAAGGCCTGGCATCTTTCATCCATTTGGGGTCAAGGGGTGGGGCAGGCGGGGGAGCTGAGGAGGGTCCGAAAGCGGGGGCGGGCGGCAGGGAAGAAGGTGCACCCAGAGTAAGGGGGCTAGGTGCCATGGGGGGAGGAGGAAAGCATGCGCTGGTGGGGGGAGAGAAGGGGGTGAGAACTTCTGGCGGTGGAGGGGGGAAGAGGGGAGACCGAGGCAGAGAGCCGTCAGGGGACTCTACTAAAGGTGGGGGAGGAGGAAGGAAAGGAGACCTGTCGGCAGGACATGGTGAGGGAAGAGAAGGGAAAGGGGCAGCAGCAAGGGGAGAGGCCAGCACCGAATCCAGCTTCTTCACGGTCCCGCTTCCTTCCGTGGAAGTATTGGAAGACAGAGACGTGGACGAGGAGGAGATGGATACTGAAGATAGCAGAGAGGACTTCCTTTCTGGCACCTTGGGCTTGGTCTTCCCCTTCCCGTTCGCTGGTGACGCTGATTTTAAAAACACAGGCACAGGGGTGAGTGCTGTGGGTGTATTCGACTGGCTGGAATACCCACTGGACGGAGAAGTGACTCTGTGGGGCTTCTCCGGCGATGTGATCTTTGGTTTGACGGAGCCACCAGGCACCTGGGGCATCACGGTCCTGGCTCCCTCCTGGACGTGGTGGACTGGCCCGTTCCCCGCCGGCGCGCCGCTGCCTGCCGAGCAGCCCCCGCCGGCAGTCCCGGGGTCTTCCTGCATGCCGGTGTAGTCAATGTAGTAACCCCAAGGGTCCGTGTACTCGGACTTGACGCTGCTCGTGTCGCTCTGCGCCGGCGTGGCTCCGCACAGGGCGTAGACGTTGGGGGTGGTGGCCGAGGTCATGCTGCTGCCCGCGCTCACCGTGCTCTGGCTGCGGGAGCGAGGCAGCCAGGGCTCTTCGAAGTCACTGCAGGGGCTCTGGGAGGGCGAGCTGCCGCCCTTGCCCGGGAGGTTCAGCTGCAGCGAGTGCTGGAGCGAGGCGATCAGACTCTCGTTCAGCGCCTGCCCGTTCGACTGGACGCCCTTCTTGGGAATCCTGCGCAGGGAGTCCGTCCGAGAGGGTGGCAGAGGAGGCTTCTTCGCTTTCTTCAAAGAGATGTTTCGCGAAAGGGACTTGTCATGGTGGTGTGACCGGTCCCCTTGGTTCTTCTGAGCTCTTCCATCAAAAACATTGACCACACTGTGCCTGGGGTTCCCAAAGTCATCGCTACCGTACTGGTTTCCAGATCCGTGTTCCGGGTCGGGGTGCATAGACGTGTAGTAGCCATCGTGCTCCTCTGAATACAGGGACCTGGCATCATCTTTGGTGGAAGTTTGGTCCAAACTGCAACTGCTCACATTACTTCCGGGAGTGGAGTAGCCAGGAGCTGCCACATGTGCCTTCAGTGGGGATGCCTGCCCGTTACCGGGGGCACTGTATTCCCAGGGCTCTGAGCTGCCAGGCCCCGTGCCTCCAGAATAACTGGACTCACTCTTGCCATCAACATCCTGGGTGTGGGCTGGAGAGCTCAGGTTGTTTTTACAGTTATAGCTCATGGCTTGGGATCCATTCTCCCGATGTGCTAGAGTATTTAGAGAGACCGCTGAGTCACAGAGGGACAACAGCGTGGTTGCAGCGGGGGAATGGGAATTATCTAAGGCCTGTGAAAGAATGCTGGGGTGACCCTCCATCCAGTTCCCACTGGGAGACTGATGATCCTCTTTACTAGCATGCCTGGAGAGGAGGTGGTCCCTGGATTTGATCTTTGTGTATGAAGAGGAGCTGGTAATTTTACTGTCCAGTGGTCCTGAACTCTGAGCAGTGTGAATAATAATAATCTCCGAAGAGGAAGAGAGTGTGGCATTTGGGATGATGCTGGTGGAGTAGGTGGCGTGAGGAGAGACCACACATGCCGGGCTGATGACATTCTCAAAATGCCTCAGCTCCTGGGACTTGGGCCTCAAAAGCATTCCAGTCCTTGAGGCACCTCCTAAATTTTCATCTCCTTGTGGGTTGTGACCGCTCTGGTAGGGGTAAGTGCCATCCAGGTCTTCTGCGGGGCCCAGGGCACCCAGGCGTGGCTCAAGGGACTGAACACTCGCCCTCGCCCCAGAACGTGGGAGACTGTGGAAACCAGCATTGCTGCTGAGGCGAGAAGGAAACACAATGCCCGCAGAATCGCTCAACACAGACATGTTCCCAGAGGAGCCTGAGAAGTGGCTCATCTGGGCAGCAATGCCTTGACCCTTCTGTGCCCGGATTCTTCTCATGGAAGGCGGTACAACTTTCACTTCCTCAGTCTGACAGCTGGAGTCCCTGGTTTCTGAGCGCAGCCCCACAGACCGATAGCTATCAAGCCTTCCCAGTGTGGAGCAGTGGTCTGGGGAGTATCCTGAGTGACCACCGACATCATCTTGGCCAGTGCCCGATGCTGGAGATAAAGCAGAAAGAGGCTTGTTATCTAAAAATATCTTAGTTCATCACCTGTACCCTCATCCCCTTCTTACCCTGCTGTACTTAAAAAAATATATATTTTCTATTTGATCTAGTTTCTTTTCTCCTGTAGGCACCTGAGTGAGAGTTTAAATACTTACTGACAGCTCCTAAAGTAAAAACCTTCATTATCAATTTCATGTACTTTTCTTGATTTGTACTTCAAATCCTCCTATAGATTAAGGCTACATATGGAATTCTGTTACTCTCTTTGAGATCAAGGCTGAGTGCTCAGTGGAAGATTTACTTTTCAAATAACCTCCTTTTGGTATAGATTTCAAGGTGGCCTATCACCCACCAGGTGACTGCGCAGAGCATCTATCAAGCTGTGACCGTCTTTCCCAAAGACAGATGAATGGAGTGGTTCAACAGTAGGCTACAGAGAGACCATTTACAAGGGGTACTGGTATAGAACGGTGTTAATTACATTCGTTTTTTATGTCAGAAGGAAATCCTAAGAAAAAATGATTTACAGGCCCATCTGTGTTTCAAACATTTCATTATTCATCTTACACCATTGTCATCTGTCTGTCAGTGACATTCAAAATCCAATAGCAATCTGTTGTGTTCTGGTGGGGAAAAAGCAGCAGGAACTGATCCAGTGAGCATTTCCTCAAATTAGGGTTATTCATTTCTTGGAGCTTTACAACCAAACTGAGAGTAGGTATATTTAAAGGAGAAAAAAAAAAAAAAAAAAGCATAAAGAGGGCCAAACAGAGAGGGAAATGGATGAGGAAAAAACCCTTAAGTGTAGATAACAGTTAGATTTCAAGCTACCTAGAAAGGAAGAGAAGCTTAAAAAAAAAAAAAAAAATCATGAAACCAACAACTTAGCCGAAGTGTAAAGAGAGAGAGATAGAGAATCAATTCATGCATTGTAACCATTAGGATACATTAAATCTTGAAAAATAACAGCATAACCAGTTTCTCTCTACATTGTTTCAAAAACTTAAAAAAATCTCAAGTATGGGCTTTGCTGAGCAATGCAAGCTGAGTGCTGCGGGCATCGCTGTTCACCTAGGCAAGGACACTGGTAGTGACAGGATTCCTGGGAACTCCCTCCCTATCCCACATGAATTAACCACATGTCCCTGACTGGATATAAGGCTTTATAGCCTTTTGCTCATCTGAATAGCAAAGGATATTACAAATATGGCAGTGATTTTCTTGTATGAACCACAAAGGAGATGTCATCCTATGAGGAATAAAGCATAAAGTGCTTGTTCTTTCACTTGTGATGATGGAGAATATTTTCATACTTGTATCTTTTAGCAGAGAGCATCTATTTCCTCCCCCTACCTTCTGCCAGGCACACTCACTGAAGACAGACAGACAGACACAGACACACACACATACACATAAGGTTCTCCCTTAGAAAGAGAGGAAGTGGGCCAATGGGCAGGAGCAGGAGAGAAGTCCACTTTGGAAAACAAAAGATGATGTTTTTGCCACTTGGGATTTCAGAAGGTGGGAAATTGACTTGTTTGGCTGTATCAGTTTGCACCAGTTTGGCTCCAAATATTCAAGATACAGTATATCATCGATCATAGGGACCACTGTAGTTCTATTCCCAAAACAGATCCTCAATATTTTCATAGTACAAAAAGTGTTACATATTACAGGACACAAATGAATGCTACCTTGACTAGAATTAAATAACAGAAACAGACTATAAAAAGAGATCTGCAAACAAATATAGACCTCTAAGGTGCTGTGAAAAATCTTGATGGGTTGTATCTGATTTTACAATATAATGTAAAGAAATAATTATATATATTTTTTACTTATTACACAATACTACAAGGATGTCCAATTTTAAAAAACATGTTTTTACATGTAAAAAGCGTGATGACAGGGGCACCTGGGTGGCTCAGTTGGTTAAGCATCTGCCTTCGGCTCAGGTCATGATCCCAGGATCCTGGGATCGAGTCCCGCATCGGGCTCCCTGCTCAGCAGGAAGCCTGCTTCTCCCTCCTGCACTCCCCCTGCTTGTGTTCCTGCTCTTGCTGTGTCTCTTTCAAATAAATAAATAAAATCTTAAAAACAAAACAAAACAAAACAAAAAAAACATGATGACAGATATCTACAGGTCAGTTAATTTAAGGTTTAATATGTGAATTCTTAAAAAGTTGTGTCTGGTCTTATGCTCTTAATGTTCTTAGTACAAACTATCAATAATTATTCAGAACGGGATTCCTTTATTTTTTTAAAGATTTTATTTATATATTTGATAGAGAGAGAGAGAGAGCGGGACAGCATGAGCCAGGGGGAGAGGGAGAAGCAGACTCCTCACTGAGCAGGGAGCCCGCCGCAGGGCTTGATCCAGGAACCCCGTGATAATGACCTGAGCCAAAGGCAGATGCTTCACCGACTGAGCCACCCAGGTGCCCCAAGAGGGGAATTCCTTTAAATGAAGTTTTTTCTGCTTGGGGAAGAGCCATTGTTCCAGGAGTATCCAAACTATTCAGTAGCCAAATATAATGATATAACAACAAAATGATCCTGATCCTAGAAGATGAAACCTTGTGGTGGGTTGTTCAAATATGTTTCTTTGTACATTTAAGATAATAAGAGTAAAGAAAAAATTAAAAATTTTGTCTGGTTCATTTAAATGGAAGGCAACAAATTATAAGCCATAAACTGCTTGAAACAGTAAATATCATACTTAACTTAGCATTATAAAGTGGCTCACCTCTAGAGTTCACTATTTATGGATTTTGAAGTGAAAACCACATGCAATTAAGCACAATCAACTAATTCTGGAAGAATCTCTGGTTAGATTTTCAAAAATCCAAATCCCCAACAACTTGGGCAAGGTCTCATGAATAGCAAGTATCTTTCCTAGTGAATGTCTTTTTTTCAGATAATCATTTCTCTTTTTATCTAATCTGTTTGACAAATTCCCTATGTTTCATATCTAGAAAAGACTAATTTTTTAAGGAAAATACTAAGTGTCTGTTTTTGAGAATCATTAGTTAGGTAGTACAAAACTCTGAAACACCAGATACCTTATAAATACAAAATATTGGGGAGAAAGGGGAAGATCAACCAGAAGTCATAAAATGAAAAAAAAATGTATGATCCAAATTTTCTGCTATATGTTACTGTATTTAAATGTTATTTTCCCTTACTCTATCAATCGTTCCAACTAGCCTATCTATAAAACTACATTGTTATTTGTCTTTTTCTTTCTTTCTTTCTTTTTTTTTTTAAGTAGCTCTAACTTAGATACAGCTGTCTCAGTTGACCACCAGCTAGGATCCAGGTCATGTCACTGACTATGAAATGACATCAACTGTCTCCTGTTTGGCAATCACAATGCAATGATACGGGAAAGCTATTTTCTTTCCTCCAGCATTACTGGTGTTTCTATATTACATGCAAAAGAGAAATGAACATGGGCCCCGGGGACTCAATCATTTATTTTAAAAATAAAATTATAGAAGACATGATTTATCTAGCTGATCAGATCACTCTAGCAAGGTCAAAGAGGCAACTGAGTTATTGGCTCCATACTGGTTGGTTTAGTAATAAAAGTGATAAAAGTTCGTATTTCTGAGGTTCTAGAAATCATATTACATATATACATGTATAGAGTGTGGGGGGGAGACATACAGAGAGAGAATTCATACTGAATACTTGTGTGTATATATATCTTTACCTGGGCCAAACTATTCTTATACCCTTTGCACAAAGCCATCCAGGCGCCTGGGTGGCTCAGTTGGTTAAGCGACTGCCTTCGGCTCAGGTCATGATCCCAGAGTCCTGGGATCGAGTCCCACATCGGGCTCCCGGCTCAGCAGGAAGCCTGCTTCTCCCTCTCCCACTCCCCCTGCTTGTGTTCCTGCTCTCGCTGTCTCTGTCTCTGTCAAATAAAT